TCTACGACACACAAGAGCCTTACACTGCACGTTTTCGGTTTCGGATGGGGTTTCTCACCTGTGTCGCGGGTAACCTTCCTGGAGGACCCATTCGTACACAAATTTGTGTCTGACCCATGTTTTGAAACAGTTTTTGTTGCATCCAGCGCTTTTTCTGAAAGGCGCGCTTTTCGGAGTAATCGGGCGGGTCTTGCAAAACGCACGAGCGCAATTTGTTCGCAACTCGAGCACAATTTTCCACAACTTGGGCGCAAATTGTCGCAACCGAGCGCAATTTCAAAAACTGTACCTTTTGCGTATTTTGCGCTCGCGCGTTTTTAAAATTGGTCCTCCAGGCTTATGATTTGTTGGGGATATGTAAGTCCGAATATAGTGACAAAACTTGTTTATCCTTGGGACAAAGCCCTAGCTACTGGACAACTAAGGAGTCACCGGTGTAGGGTTTCGGGTTTAGGATGTAGGGTTTAGGGTTTCAGGACCTAAGCGCAAAACCCTATGGGGGATAATGGTGGCACACGGCCTTTCTGCCTCTAGAGCTGCTAGCAAACACTAACCCTGAATCCTCAACTCTAGATTCTGAACCCTGAATCCTAATCAAACCTTAGTCCGTGCATCTCACAAACTCTACAGCCATTGACCAGGCGTGCTGTGTGCCTGTTTGGCGCGGCCGGTCCTATACGCAAGGCAGTTGCGTTTGGGCTGGCTTTAGGGTTGAGAGTTTAGCTTAATTTAGCTCAAAGCACGTGTTAGGAGTTGAGTGTTTGGGCTTAGGGCTGCAGGTTTTAGGGTGTAAGGGTTGAGGCCGCGTCCAAGCCTTATATGAGAGTTCAAGTGCCCACACAGCACGCATTTGTTTGGGCCCGAAGTATCTACGTAGGAGGATATTTGGCCCCAATGTATGTACTACACATACTGGGACCCATAGGCCCTGAGGGTAAGGGAACCTGATGCCATGCGTAGCTTGTAGGAACCCCAGGCTGGGCGACTTGCAAGATAACTAGGTACCCCAGTAGTACCCTTTTTCCCTTTTTGTTTAGGTGTCTCGTTGTTAAAGCTGAATCATAGGAAAAACGGGTACCCTAAACCCTAAACCTTAAACTTGTAGCTCAGATTCTTCGCATTGTCCTCATGTGTCGAATGTGCTTCCCCAAGAAACGAGTGCCCATTTTAAGGGGTCCTTATCATGTAGGAGATGATGATACAATATATTGTTGGGCAGAAAGGGGACCCTAATCTTTGGAAACTGCATGAAACTGCCAAATCCCAGCCCTCAGCCCAAAGCCTACAAGCACGCTGCGATGCGTGTCGCAGGTTCGCTGTTGTTGCCTTGATTGGCACTCTGGGCCCGACACCCCAGCTTTCTGGTTTCGGGAGCGAGAATGGTTTAGGGTTCTCGGGTCTAGGAATCAAGGGTTTAGGGTTTAGGTTTAAGGGTTTCTGGGGTCTATAGGGTCTATGTGAGGTCTAGTTGAGGGTTTGCAGGGCTCGAGTGTCCAGGGCTCAAGGACCCCGAGGGCCTAGCCTTAATTCAGGGGCCATTCTGATGCCTTTGGACTTTTTGGGGGTCCTTATCATTAGCATGTAAGGGCGCCCCCCAATTTCGTTGACATCCATAATCTGGGCAGGCGTATTCCAACCCCCACCTTTTTTCTCGCAGTAATTCTCTACCCCCAGCAACTCTGAACTCCAGGCCCTAAAACGGGTGAATCAAGACCCGAATCCCAAACCCTAAACCCTAATCCCTAGACCTCATCCCTAAACCGAACAAACCCCGCTTCAGAAACTACAATCACCACTGCAGAAACTAAAAAATCATCGCTTCAGAAACTAAAATCCACGATTCAGAAACTAAAACACCCTTCAGCTCAGAAGCTAAAATCGCCGATTCAGAAAGTAAATCTCACGATCCATGATTCAGAAACTAAAAACCCGATTCAGAAACTGAACTGAAACTAAACTTCTCGAAGCCATGGGGGATGGGGGTGGGGCTTGGGGTGGTGGGTGGGGTTGGGGGGGAGTAATCTCTTGCATGTCGAATCAGGGGGATATAGTTTCCGAATCAGGGTTTTTAGTTTCCAAATCAGGTGTTTTTGGTTTCTGAATCAGGGCTTTTGGTTTCCGAATCAGGGTCTTTAGTCTACGAATCAGGTTGATTTTGGAATCAGGGCTTGTTTCCTAATCAGGGCTTTCAGTACCCAGATCAGGTTTTTAGTTTCCGAGTCTGGGCGTGACCTCTCTAAACCCTAATCACTAAACCCAAAACCACCAGACAAGTCGACAAGATCACCCTTGCCTCGAAGAGTGCGGAAGATATTTCCTAAGGGTCCATGTGCCCAATAATTAGGTGCTTGGGTGTTGGGTAATACTAATTTTGATACAGGTTTTGGGCAGGTATATGATTATTAGGTACTTGGACCCTTATAAGGGTTTCTTGGCTTTCTGCTTTTAGGGACTCTACAATGTAATGAGGACTGCAATATTTTAGAGAATCTACCCTTAAACCCTGCACCTTAAACCCTAAGCCCCCAAGCCCCAAACCCTTGACCCTTAACCCTAAACCCTTACCCCATAAAGATTGAACAGTGCACAAGACGCTGTTGGGCAGAACACGGGCTATGCCTTCGTGGTACAGTCAGATAACAAAGTCACATCAGAAGCCTCACCTAGAGTTACCTATCTACCTAGAACAAATTACCGAATATGTTTTAGCATATTTGCCTTGATAAGGGTCCATGGTTACTCTAGGTAATTAGCGAGTATGTCAAGGGGATATAACTCGGGCCCAGGGGGTTCCTCTACATGTGTTTGGGCCTACTGGTTTTCAGTAGGGAAGAAGGGAACATCTTATACACACATTATACAGGGATTACATTCCCTTATTCCCTACCCGAAGTGTTTTATGGAAGCTTGTTGGATGCCGTTATGCCAGCTATTGCTTGCTTCTCAACTCTGGACTTTGTACTAGGCCTCGTATTCTCTTCATGAAAGCCCTGGTAAGCGCTTCCGGACATTGTGCATCATCAGCTCAAACTGTCCTGAGGCCCTGAGCAGCCTCAAGCTGCTAGACCCTACTTGGAGAGTCAGATGGGGCTAAGCAACTGGGTTTAGGGTTTAGGGTTTTGGATTTAGGCTTGTAGCCCCTATAATTCATATTACAACCCCAGTTATCCTTTATTAAGCCACTTAGTCGGTCCGCCTGACCCTCCAAGTGCACAAACTGAGGTGTGCGCAAGCCGCAAACCTCTGCGAAGAGTGTATACACATTGGGTACTGACCCCACTCATTGACAGTCGGATGATATTTATGATGTACTTGCCTATATATAACCCTATAATGCTACTCCTCTATAATACTACTCCTAATATATACTGTTAATGGGGGGGCAGGACCCAGCATATGCATGTATATATATATATATGTACACACACACAATCTTTAAAGGCTTGCGTTTGTGGCTTAGGCCCTATCAGCTCCTTAACCTGAAACCTAGACCATATTGGAAATTTGAAGCTCCCACAAAGGGCTCTACAATCCCTCTGACCTACCATCCTAAGGGAATCCGAACGGTGGTCGTTTTTAGTATGGATGTTGGTGAGTATATGTGGTGCCCGATGTGGGGGATCATAAACCCTAAACCCGAAAAACATGAACCCAAGACCCTAGTAACGAAAACCCAAACCCTCAACCCTAAAAACTAAACCCTGAATTGCGATTTCAATTCTTACAACGCACACTGTTCAAACAAATCCTTCGCATATCTCTTGCATCCCTAGAAGGGAGGAGACACTAAGGGTTTAGGGATTTAGGGTTTTAGGGGTTTGGGGTTTTAGGGTTGTAGGGGTTTGGAATTTTTGGGTTTCAGGGGTTTGGGGTTTAGTGTTTTAGGGGTTTGGGGTTTAGGGTGTTTCGGGTTTAGGAGTTTAGGGCTTTGGGGTTTTGGGTTGGATCCTAGTCCTTGAAAACCAGAGCCCAAAAAATACTACAGTATATCCTGCCCAAAAAGGGCAACTAGGTACCCCCCATGTTGAGAAACCTCCAGACAGCTTGCTCAACCAAGGTCAGCTTCCCATGGCATACTTGGCTACCTTGCAGCAATCATCCAGTTGATGCGCATGACCTTCGCATGCTAGGAGACCATGTATTTCCCAGTGTATGAGGTACTTGCTTGTGGTCATCCAGGGTCTTGTGAATTAGCCAACGGTCTGTTGCAGAAAACCTTTGGCGTGTAGGGTTGGAAGTCTGAGGAAAAAGGGGTCCTCATCTCTTCTCCCACCCTTCCTCGTTTAGGGTATAGGGTTTAGTGTTTAGGATTAAACGTTCCAGTTGAGGGAGCCTTCCTCAACCTTTTGGTTTGTTTGGGATTTGGGGTTGAACTTTGCATCCTTCCCTTATAAGGTGTATACTGGGTTGCTGTTCGTGAACTTGAATTAAGTCACCATAGTTAGGGCATATATTATGGGGTGTTGGCTGGCTGGTCGCCAATTCCCAACATAAACATGTTTTTTTCCAGGCCTGAACAGGCATGCACACAGCGGAGTTGTTGCTAAAATCAGGGGGACAGGCATCTATTTAGCACGGGCAAGGAGAAAGTATTACAATGCACGGTTTTCAAAGGGGCTTTCTTATGGTTATAGGGACTTTTGCAAGGTAGCTTCTGCAGCAGGGTTTCAAGTCACGGAGTGCTTGATCCACAACTTGGCAAAAACGATTCAGGAAGTCGCTGCAGAAATTCCATGGGTCCACCTCAATTCCAATGTGAGTGGGTGCGATTCAACGGGAGTGGTGTGCAAAGTGAGTCGGTACGATTTCCCATCATGTCCGGGCTGGAGAAGCAAGCTTTTTTGCAGTTTTGCACTCAAGGCTTTGTTGTTGTGGTTGGTTGTCGCAACATTGATCCCACAATGCATCGGGTCGGCGCACATTTTACGGAAGGCGTAGGAAGGGAATAGCAAGACACTGCTGGACGTAGAATGTGTGTGACGTTGTAATAAGACGTTTGCATGGAATTGTCCGATGGTGATGGAGATGACTTGTTTGCTGCTTTGTTCCTTGAGCAGCTAGAGCTGAGTGACGAGTGGGAGCCTCTCTTGGCAGCTCTACATCCAGCAGAAGCGCCCGAGTCCGACGGAGATGCTGACGCGGCGCTTGCTCTCCAGCGCGCACTGCAGCAAGTGCCTGCGCGTGGCGAAGACAGGCTGAACGATGGGCCGGATGGGTCCGGCTGTCTGGAAAAAGTGACTTAGCGGCACAAGGATGTTTTTTTTAGCAGCTTGTTTTGCGCAGTTTGCCAACAAGAATATCGTTCTCCGGGCGCAAGACGAAGTTCTTGAACCAGGCCGATCTATGATTTTTTGCGACGGACTTGTCAAATACACGTACAGCAGGTGCTTTACATTCAGTTTCTCGGTAGTGCCTGTAGGCCGGGTGGCCTTGCAGTCGTGTGGCAGAACACTGCGGACACTTTAGTATCTCTTACGAAGTTGCAGTATATTAGCACACTCACGTCATAACCCCTTTTTATTGCAGGGTGTCACTTGTAGTTAGGTTGCCCGATTTGCGGCAGCAACGTTCAGGCACATGGTGCGCAGAGCGTAGAACAAGCACTATACTAGATTCTATGATTGGAGACCGAGGGGAGCAACGTCGAGCCGCAAATGTTTGAGACCGCAGGCTGGCGCTATCTGTCGGCAGGGGTGCGTGTATGTAGCACGACAGGCCACAACAGCGTGCAGAAAAAGGACATTCCAAGAAGCCAGCGTTGAGCCCGCAGCAGCCAATCCGCATGCGTGCTTGACATGTTGACGTGGGCTTGCGAACAGCATTGGCAGAGCAGTTGTCAAACCACATGGTTACAGGTGAGGTGATTGCATGCTGAGCTCCCTGTGGTGGGCTAGCGCCCATTCAGCAAAGGACCGGAAAGATGTGGGAACACGTGGCGCATGGTCGCGCGGCAGGCTCGAGCAACTAGTAACTAGACTTCAATAGGTTTGCAGTGTTTCAGCCATTGGCCTTATTGTGGTGTCAGCACATGGGCAGCGTGAGTTTTTTTTGGCAGCTTTGTTTCCTGCATGCCGGTGGACGTGCAACATTTAGTACAGGGGGGCCGTGCAGAGTAACAGGAATCATGGGTCGCAAGAGATACTCGTCCAGGCAGGTAGCAATTACAGTGCATGGAGGGTTGGAAAAGCCTTGCAAGTCCAAGCGATGGGGCCCAGGGTCGGGAAAATGTGTTACGCTTTAACTCCTTTGGCCATCCCATTTGGCGGGGAAAGTGCATCTGTGCCCGTCTGAGGGCCAGATACGGACGCATGTGCATGCTGGACCATGAACAGTCCCCAAGAAAAGTGCGGAAAGAGAGGCCGGGCGCCCATCCCGGTTTGAGCCGTCCCAAAGCGGAGGCACGCGAAAACCTGGAAACGGAAAATCAGAAGGCCGCAGCTCTGGGCTGTTAGCAAAACGGCACACAGCAGAGGCTGACGCGTGCCCGAAGCCGTTTCGGTCTAGGATACTGACAAAAGAAAGGTGTCCGCAACCATGGACCCGGTAAAAACAGCAGTGAGGAGCTCGGACGCGTCGACTTGGGGGCAAAGGTCGTCCCTGCGAACATGTGAGTGTTTGCGGCGAAGCGCGGTGGATGTCATGGTGCGTGACGGGCTACATGCGGGCTGGCCGCGCGCAGAGGAACTCGCTTCTCAGCACCGGCCTCGGCCTGACGTGCTGCGCAATGTGCTGATGACATGTGGCTTGGCGCCAAAGATGAACACTTGTCCTGTGTGATTGTGTTTAGTTGCAAAACAAATCATGTCAAGAGGTTGGGCAAACTCGACACCCGGCGAACCGAGTTGGGTGGTGGAGCTTTTTTCCATGACTGGCAGGTCTCCCATGAATTGTACGGGGCTATCGGGGCTGTGAGCTCGTCTGGGGCAGTGGTAACAATGTTGCTCTGCATCGCTTTGATGTTTCACAGCCACATGACCACAAAACTCGTTTTGGAAGAGGCGCGGGCCATGGCGCTGGGCAAAGCGCGTGCACTTACCCAAAGGCATGTGGAGCGGCTTTTTGTAGCCCTCCAAAGCCACCGCAGCAAGCAATCGCTGTTCAGACCAGAGCGTATCTGGGTGCAGCAAAAGACGGAAACGTCAGTGAAAGCATTGTGGTTGCAGCGCATCGTGCGAGCCAAGCACGGGAGTGTTTCATTCGGAGAGCACTATAAGTTTCAATGTCCGTTGCAGATACGGGCACAGGGTAGTTTTGCAGTGCTGAAAAACATTGTCAGTTGCTGTGACAGGCGTGGTTGCCAGCAGCGACGCGCTCTGGGCCGCGAATGAACGCGGGTGACGCATGCGATATAGCCGTCGCAGCAGCCAAAGAGCTGCGCAGCGCACCATACGCGCGGGCAGTGCTGCAGTCGGCCTTGGCATCTGCGTGGCGCAGGTTGCCTGCGGCGCAAGTTCCAAGCGTGGGGCCGGGTGCTGTGCTGTGGCGGTGATACAGGATTTCCTTTTCGAGGACTGCAGTGGCAGGCGACTTGCTAATGTGAACCAAGAGCAGGCGCAGACCTCGCTGAGAGCCACGCGCAGGGAGCTGCTGAACGCATTCCTTTCAAACCCACTGGCACTGGATGTGCTCCGCGCAAGGTGGCGCGGCCAATCAGACCTGCTGGAGACACATCATTATCTGTGCGAAGTGAACTGCATGTGGCGGACGGCTGAGTGACTATGCGAAATGGTTTGTGCTTTGCTTTGAAAAAGTTATGGCACAGGAACGGCCAATCCTTGGAGTGAAAAGTCCGCCTGCGCTTGTAACCCACGTGTCAAAGAGCAACTGAGCCCTTGTATTCTGATCGCACCTGTTGCCGAAATTCAGGTACTTCCTCCTTTTCGTTGCCATGACCGGCTTTGCTTCTGGGATATCCCAGCAGTCCCCACTGCATCAAACAGGGCATATAGCAAATACTCGGGTTCCCTTATTTTAGTAGTTTGATTCAAGTTTTTTAACAGCAGCTCGGGACATGTTTTCTTTTGCCTCCTTATTGCCGCTTGCCCTAGACCCTGCTACTTAGAGTCCTGAAACCCGTGTCGAGACTGGATGCTACTGTCCATTGAAGAAATATTGCACCAATCTGTATCCCTAAAGTGACATGCCTTTCTTGCAACCCTAAGTGGAGCAAAACATCCGACCCTGAAATGTTAGCCTGAGAGCCGCACCCTCCCGCAAACTAACAGTGCTGGTCAGTACGGCATGGAGGGATGTAAGCCTTAAACTCTAAACCGCTAAAAGTGGGATGAAATCAGCAAGGCTCCCTATGGGTCCATGCCTTGGTTCCGCACCAACCACCATAGGGTTTTGGGTGTAGGGTTTAAGGTGACCATGAGGGAGCTTTTCCAGCCGTTCTAGCGTTGTTCCGTAGTATTCACCACTCTTCCCACCCCATAATGCTTTCCGAATACGGTATCAACATATATGCATGTAGATACATATATATATATATGTATACACATACATATCTATATATACATATAAATCATGACTACTGGGCCTTTTTGTATGATGCCTAGTGCTATTATTACTGTTGCTTCTGTTATATAGTACGTATGCATATAATCTGCACCCTGGCTGTTTGGACCTGGGAGGTTCTTGAGGTTCTACCCTAGATTTTCGCAGGGTGTATCTCGCAGGAAGGTAAGACATGCGGAGTGAGACTGGCCATGCAACCTTAAATTGTTGACCTCACCGAAGTTCAGGAAAAAAACAGGGTCTAAACTTTGAACCGTAAATCCGGAAACTTGAACCCCAAACAGACAAAAACCTACCCCATAAGGCCTGAAGGCTCAAGACCCTAATCCCTCAAAACCCCAAAGCTTTAAACCCTCAAAACCCCCAAAGCCCCAAACCATGAACCCCAACTCCTAAATCCGTAGGCTCCATTTCATTTTCCATTTTCCCTATAGAACCCTAGACCAAGAATAGTAACAATAGTGGCAATAACAATATTGATAGCATTAATTATAGCAACAAGACCAAGCCTTCAACCCTAATTAAACCCCAAAGCCGGGATGCCTCTTTTCTCCTGCCGGAGGATTGTATGCATATCCATGTATGCTCGCTCTAGCCGTAACCCAACAACTTGAAGGTAGCGAAGTCGATTTTGGAAGCGAGTCAGAGGCGATGCGGCAAGTTAGTTTCCTGCACGACAGATCCAACACAGCTTGGCCGGAAGCCTTAAACCCTAAATCCTCAAAACCCCAAAGCCCCAAACCTCGAACCCTAAGTCCTAAACTAAAACCCAGAGCAAGCCCAGAACTGCTTCAACCTACTGGTTTTCTTCCTCCGCTTCCTGTCCTACGCCTATGCGCGGTTCCTGCTGCAGCCTGAGCCAGGGTTTAGGGAAACTTTGGGGGGTTTCCCAAAATTAGCGGTTTGAGATGTATACCCTAAAGCTTAATACCCTAAACCTTGAACATAGGGTTTGGTTTAAGGAGACTCGTGAGCTTTCCCAAAACTTGGGGTGCAATAAGGACTTGCGTATTTTGGGGTGTATATTGGGGTCCTCCTATCTAGGGAAACTACCAATTTCTAGAAGGAAGACTTAAAGGTTTAGGGCTTAGGAATGAGGATTTGGGGTTTAGGGTTTTGGGTATATTTCATGAGTCTTCCGAATGGTTCAGGGTTTTGGGAGATTGTGCTGTGATTGGGGACTATGCAGGGGATACAACAGGGATCCATTCCTGAATTGGTAGTTTACCACAAAAATGGCACCCCGATACAGACCCCAACACGCTATAGTTCTTATTATGAGGACACTCAAAAAAACTACCCCTCATTTTGGTATACTCCCTAAACCCTAAACCCTTAAACCCTAAACCCAGCAACCAGGAAGTCTAGAGTCTTGGGGCACAAAACCCTGAGCTATCAGGCTTTGGGCCAATCAAAGCCAGAATAAGGGAAGGCTCTTTCCTTCAGAGAGATTGCTGCAGACAGCTGACATGTGGAGGTTGTTCTAAAGGTCCTTGTAGAGGAGGGATCATTGGGAATACACTTCCTTAAAAAGGGGATCCTAACCAAACAGGGAACCTACATTATGACCATTTTTGGGACCGGTATTTTGAACAACTACCATGTAAGCACCTAAGCCTTGAATCCTAGATCCCAAGTTTTTTGGGGTTATGCGAATAGGCGATGTGTCATAACGCCTGCTTTCGCCCCTTACAGGGA